AAATTCAATTTTAAAAAAACTGGTTTTCACTTTTTCCACATCTATCACCTGAAGCAAGAGGTGACTTCAAGTTTCTTGTTTTCTGTACCTGTAAGTATGTAGCTGCCATTAAAGCGGGAAAGACCATGAGTGTAGGAGGTTCGTGGAGGGTAATCAGAATTTCATTGTTGCAAGTATTTATATCTGAAATATCTGTTAGATATTTAACCAGTGTTATGAAGTACACAGTTGGATATGGATTGTGGAATTCAGAGGACAAGCCCGGGTTGGAGATTAAAATTAGGAGTCATAATAGTACTGACATTTTTAATGCTATGAGATTAGACTAGATGAGCAAGGGAGTGAGTATAAAGAAAAGATGAATAACACCTCACTTCTGGGCCACTCCAACATTAAGAAGTAGGGGAGAAAATGGGAAACCACCAAAAGAGAATGAGAAAACATGGATAGTAAGATAGGAAGAGAACCGAGAAGGTGTTGCCATGAAAGGATAGTGAATAATGTTTAAATGCTGAAGATAGGTCAAGTAAGATAAGGACTGAAAATAAATATTGCTTTTAGCAATGTAAAAGGCACTGGTGATTTTGACAAAAGCAGCTGGCTTTGCGTGGCTGAGGCAAAAGTATGATTGAAGTGGATTTAAGAAAACTTGGGAGGGTGAGTACAGACGAAGGTGAGAACTTGAGATCTAAGAAGTGGGAGGTGAGCAATAAGAACACATGGACACAGGGAAGGGAACATCACACACCAGGACCTGTCAAGGGTGGGGGCCTAGGGAAGGGATAGCATTAGGAGAAATGCCTAATGTAGATCATGGGTTGTTGGGTGCAGCAAACCACCATGGAACGTGTATGCCTATGTAACAAACCTGCACGTTCTGCACGTGTATCCCAGGATTTAAAATACAAAAAAAAAAAAAAAAAAATGGGTGGGCTCTGTAGATGAACAATAAATAATTCCTGGAAAACATGATTTCTTTCTTCTATCCTGTAATTTATTTAAATGATAAATAATTTGATAAGCTTTACCATTATCTTTTTTAAATTGTTGAATCTACTTGAAAGGTTTCATATTAGAGACTATGAAATTGTTAAATTGTTTGCCACCGATTAGCAAGAACAAAGTTATTCTGTAGTCTCAGTCCTCCATTACAAGGTGCTCAGAAATTAGCAGTATTTCCTTTTTTTATATTGAAAATGGTTTGTCTTTTTCAGTGTTTGCCTTCTAAAGTAAAAAAATAGTGTGCTTTTTATACTTCATTATTTTTTGGCTTTAGTTTTACTTCGGTCTCATTACTGAAAATGAGACCCAAGCCTAGACTCTTTTCAAACAAAACCCCTAGCATTTAAATATAATGTTTAACTCATGACCATAGACTCTGTAGATATAAATAAGGTTACCTTATGAAAGTAAATGATTTTTAAAATACCACCTTGTTTCAATTGAGCTGTTTTTAAAATATTTCTCATTTCATCCACCACGGATTTCAGGGAAACAGAATAATTCAGATTTTTGAGAACACTTATTTATATTGTATGGAAGAAAAGATAATTGGATCAGAGTTTTGATGCATGGACCCACTAAAGGGCAAAGTTTATTATTATTATTATTATTATTGTTGTTGTTTAAATTCAACATTTTAACTCCTACTTAACGGAAGTATTTATCACAATATATTTTCCTACTACTCATTTGTCCGATCTATCTTGCTTTTCAATGTTCATTTGCATTCTATAAATTTGAGAAACATTTGAGGAATCTTCCTGTGTAGACTCTTAAAAATCGGGAGACCCGAGTCTAGCTAGGCCCATGCTCTGTATGTTACTTACAACCTATGTGGCCTTGAATATAAAACTAACCTTTCTTTTTTTCCATCAGTTCAAAAATATACATTTTCACATCTGGACAGATAAATGACATAAAGAAAGTGGGCTTTGGAGACACATGTCTGGTTAGCAAATGGAAACACCTCAAATAAAATATACAGTAGCAATCCAAAAATATTAATCATTATTAACACTAAACTAGTATTAGAGTAAAAATAGGCAGAACCTTTATATGTTATTTCTGTAGATATGAGGAAGTTAAGAATTAGATTATTTTCATAGATCTAATTTGAATTTGATTTTCTTTTCATTGAATCACTTTGTTTTCATCATGCAAATAATACATATTTTTACTGGCTTCACAGTTGGCAGTAAAAACTAACGACATATGATCTGAATGTAAAATGTAAGCTTATTTCATTATTATACAATTTTGCTTTTTTCATCCTCCTCACCACCTATATATTGTGTGTGTTTGTGTGTGTTCATTGGGGAAAGAGGAAAAATTATAGAATTTATGACTTTTCAAAGCATTATTTTGTCCTGGATATGACATGCTGGTTATTAGAATAATTAGATCTAAAAGAAAGATAGAGAGATAAAAGAAGAGAGAAAAAAATCTGTTCACAGTGCCTTGCACGTATGAACTGCTCTGAGCCTGTAAGAGTGAAGCAGAGGATTCCTGCTTAAATCATTTCAGGGTCATTGGGTTGGATGCCCATATGGACCAATTAGTTTTAAACAGTGAAAAAACAATGTTTTCCAGGCATAGACTGTACCTCTTGCCCTGGTCAGCTGTCTCCAGAAAGTCTGATGTATGCCACAGAGGGAACTCCTAAAAGAACATCCATGGCTCAGCACAAATTAATCACAACTGCTGGATGCAGAAAGACCTTATCCATACTGATGGTGTTAGCAGCATGCCTGCTTATGTGCAATGGATACATAATCCCAGACAGGGCCAAACATTATTCCAGTACTGTTCTTAATGCAGAACAGGATCTCAAAGCATTATGTGCCATGGACTAATTGGACATTCTGCTGCCAAATGAAAAGTTAAATGCATAAGACAAACTATGTAATATTACTAAGAAAATGTAGCTTATTATTTAGTTAGAGGTATCAATATATTAAAAATCAAATATAAGGTTTTTTAATCAATGCATTATGTGACGTTATCTCCCTATGGGTTTATTAATTACCATAATTTCACATTAGTAATTGGCATAAATAGTATTTCAACAAATCTTCAATATAAATAATATGAAGGAAAATATATTGTGATATTTCTTGGTGAAAAGTCAGCAATCCCTAACAATATCACTGTAGTTTGTTATCTACCATTTTAACAGATGAAAATATTAAATTATTATTAGAAGGAAGTGAAAAATTGTCTTTTGGAGACCGAATTTCTTTTCCTCATGTTTTAACAGAGATCTCTAGCTGAGCTACTTATAAAGTACTGTCGCTATCTGTCTAGAAAAGCACACTAGAGTTTAATACCAAATATTTTATTTTCATTTTAATTGATTTCAAAATACAACTATTCTTACAATGGGGAAAACATAGCAACAAAAATTAAAGACAGAGTTTGAATTCATTTTAATAAATGTATATGCTATTAAATTATATCCATGTTTTTTCATAAAAGTTGGAGGAGATTTTCTAGAAGTCAATTGTGATGAAATCTTCCTTTAAATTAAAACTTCCAATATACATATAATAAAATATATATATTTTTAAAAACAGAAAGTCTATGGATAGCATTTTCCTCTGCAGAGCATAACATGCAGAGATTTTCTAAGAAAATGTATCAGAAATAGAAATTTTTATCAATTTCTTAAACTTAATGGGAAGAAAAAAGAAAATTTCTACATAAGAATATTAATTTTACTTGAAAAACATTTCTAGTTAAATAATACTGATATTCCACAGTTTCTATAATATTACAGTTAAATTTATTATTTCTATTCTTTTAGGAAGCTTTTGGGGACGTTCAGTGGGCAATAAATATAACTTCAATCTATTAATTTTATATAGAATTATGAATTATTTGGGAATTGTCTACGTTTCTTTAGGCTGCAATAACAAAACACCATAAGCTGGATGGCTTATAAACAAGGAACATTTATTTTTCACACTGCTGGAGGCTGGAAATTCCAAGAGTAAGACACTTGTAAATTTGGTTTCTGGTAAGGGCCCACTTCCTCATAGAGGGTGCTACCTCCTTACTGTGTTCTCATGTGGTGTGAGGCAGGGAAAAGAAGCTCTGTAGACCCTTTTCTATAAGGGCATTAACCCCATTAATGAAGGCTCTGCCCTCACCACCTTACCACCTTCCAAATGCCACACCTCTTAATATCATCACCTTTGGGGTTAAAATTTCAACTGATGAATTTGGGCGGTACAGGAGCATTCAGACAGTTGCAGAGATTTAAACATTAGTGTGAGATGAGAAGACACAGAAGAGACAAAGTCTATACATATAGTTCTTTATTTGTGTTACTTTTTTTTCTGTCTTTTATTTAAATATTTTATCAATGGTACACTCAAGTATCTCCATTTGTAATTTTCTGACTAAATGTATTTAAACGCAATTACCTCTCCTACTGTATTCAATAAAAATTACAATAATTTGGCGGGGTGCGGTGGCTCACGCCTGTCATCCCAGTACTTTGGGAGGCCGAGGTGGGCGGACCACGAGGTCAGGAGATCGAGACCATCCTGGCTAACACGGTGAAACCCCGTCTCTACTAAAAATACAAAATATTAACTGGGCGTGGTGGTGGGCACCTGTAGTTCCAGCTACTCGGGAGGCTGAGGCAGGAAAATGGCGTGAACCTGGCAGGCGGAGCTTGCAGTGAGCCTAGAACGCACCACCTCATTCCAGCCTGGGTGACACAGTGAGACTCCGAATAAAAAAAAAAAAGAAAAATACAACAATTTATTACAGTGAATGTTTAAAATATACGCTGGGTTTTAAAACAGAAGACTGAAGCAATGAAGCCTCTATGGATTTTCATTTCCTCATTTATATTTTCTAATGGCCCTTTAAAGTATTTTTTCCTCATGTAATGATGTTAGTTAAAAAGAGAACCCTATATATTGCATGGTGAAACTCCAAAAAGATAGCATAATATATACTTTTTAAATCTCTTTTCTTTTTAATTTTAGGCTGAACAAGACAATGGTCATCCTCTTCCTGCCTTTGCCAGTCTACACATTGAAATACTGGATGAAAACAATCAAAGCCCATATTTTACAATGCCCAGTTACCAAGGCTATATCCTGGAATCTGCCCCAGTGGGAGCAACCATTTCGGACAGTCTCAATTTGACCTCACCTTTAAGAATAGTAGCTCTGGACAAGGACGTAGAAGATGTAAGTTAAAAACATATTTTGCTCTTGTTTGTGTAACAAATCTCATGTTATATTTCCATTAATGGGAAATATGACAAAGATATGGCTACATAAACTAGAGAAGAGAGAATTAAGTCACTATAAGTGAGTTTTAGTATTATAATTTAATTCCAAAACAAGGATATATTTAAAAAGTATCTTTGAATTCAATAACTATTCCTTTTCAGCTTGCAGATATTCAGTATACGTAAGAAAATGAATGTTTTACTTGCTGTTTATTAATTGACGAAGGCAATATTTTTATTGACATACGTTGAGAACTGTTTCATATAATTGTTGATAAAGCAAAAATAATGGTGTTACCACATGAGTAAAAAATCCTGAAAGTACCCCTAGATTGTGATTCTGAGAGTCTTTTCTTCAAGTCTGAGGGCATCGTTATGAAATAAAATCTATTTGAGGCAGTTGACCCAATCATAATTCTGCCAGTGACTGTGTGGATGCTAACACTTCACACATCATTGTCCTTTGTTTTTCTGGCACTCACACTATCTACATGAGTGGGAAATGGTCCAGGCTGAGCAAATCAGAACACTTAACCTCCTTAGCCAGAGTCAATGTTATAAAGGGACAGAAAATCTATACCAGGCTAGCCAGAATCCTCCCGGGAATTTACAATGGAGAACAGAAGGGCTGAAAGACTTTGGCATCATGTATTAGAGAAGTGGAAATGAATCTGAAGCCTTTGTAGCCACATTTGCTGACATCATGAGAAAGCCAGTTATCAGTGGGAGAGAATGAAACCTGAGAGATACACACAGAAAAGAGACTCCCATTGAGTCCCTGTCTTTTAAGTTGTAAGTTCCCCAGAGGTATTCTAATTCCCAAAGATTTTCCTTTGAGTTTGTGAACTACCACAGTATCCTCACTGCAAAAATATGTATGCATATGCTTTGTGTGTATATATATAGATAGATAGATAGATACACAGGTATACATACACAGAGATAGATAGCTAGCTAGCTAGCTAGCTAGCTAGCTAGATAGATAGATAGATAGATAGAAATATAAATATATACACAAGTATACATACACACACACATACATGCGCACGCGCACGCGCGCGCACACACACACACATATATATAACAGCAAGTAAGAAATCCAACTGTGTTTGGATTATAAACATAACTATTTGTAAAAGACAGTTGGATTTCTTACTTGCTGTTATATAAGTCTTGACTCAGCCATTTCTCCGTTAGCAGTGCTTGCTCTTAGATAGAACTTTTTGTGATGATGGAATTACTGTGTAACTGTACTGTCCAATATAGTAGCCTCCAGCCTTATACAGCTATTGAGTACTTACAATTTAACTGGACTGAAAACATAACTTTTAAATTTTGCTTAATATTAATGAAATTAAATATAAATACTCATGTGTCACTCATAAGGCAGCAGCGCTCTAGAATGTTCCCTAATATCTCATTACACATAGCTTTATAATCACTTTAGGAAATTGGGAAGGTACTTTCAGACTTTTTTTTCTCTTTCTAAACAAATTTTGTAACACTACGCAGAGGATGTAACAATTCTTCTGGGCACTCTACCTTTGCTTTGTTTTCTTCTTCCATTCCAGCTTTTTTTTTTTTTAATCTTTCCTGGTCTCTCACATTTAGTGTCTTCTTAAACCACAAGTTTTAACAATATCTAACTGTCCTTGAGTTCTCAGTACATATCAAACAATATAGTAAATACTTTTTTCTTGCATTAATTCCCTTAAATCTCACAACAAACATAATAGATGCAATTATCCATATTTCAGAAAGGGACATTAAAGCTAGTTTAAATGCCTTACCATGATCAGAGAGTTAGTAAATAGTAGAGATGGACCTTAAACCAAGGTTTATAGAAAACAATGTTCTCAATTTTAAGCATTCTATATTTTATATACTTTGTTCATAGTTTGACTATAATGATAGCTGAAGAATGCTCTAGGTTCTTTTCCTAGAAAAATGAATATATTAATTCATACACAGTTTCATATGCCAATCAAGAGAATTTAGGGATTCTCTGACATATAGTGGGTTTCATGAGTCACAGGAAAAAAGTCTTTACTGAATCCCCACTAGAAAACAAGTAATCACCTTAATAACAGTAATACAGGCTGAGCAAATATATTTTGTAGATCTAATAATATCCCACAAATTTTAGTGCAGATTTTGCTTTTCAGTTGAATACATACTCATATTTGAAGTAGTGACTAATCAACTTGAAAGTGTACGACAGCTTAGGTCATACCTTAATAGATATGTGGTTAGAAAAATATTAATTTATCTTAATAGATAGGTGGTTAGAAAAACATAAATATTAAAGTTATGTAGTTTTAAGTTTACAGGATAGCAAAATTTATGTATTTATACTTTCTCAGTGCGTTCGTATTATCTAATGGTTACACACTAAGCCCTATGTTTGCCTGTGTGTCCCCGTACTTGTCTGGATTGTCTGTTCACTTCTAAATTACAAATGTTAAAATTGTGTTCCAAGTAACTTTGTAAAACACAGTAGTACTCACAGGGCATTGATGAAATAAAGTGGAGAGAGCTCAGGGGTCTAAAACCTTTGAGGAACACTACTTATAATTCAACTCTTGGAGATTTACTGTGCCATTTATTCTGTGACATGCTCTGAGGTGTTTTTAAAATATGTCTTCTTGGGGGCTTGGGCTTTGGATTTAGACAGATCTTGGCTTGACTCCTGATTCCATCATTTAATAGCTATATAACATTGTGAGTTTCATACTCATCAGGTACCCCCTCTTGTCCAGTCATCTATATGGTAGCAATCATTGCTGCCTTGTCATGTGTCTTTTGTTGGGACTGGCAGGAAAGGGCATGGAGAGAAAATTTCCCTAAGATGATGCCATGTACATGGAGAGTGACATGCTTCATAACTTTTGTAAAAGTGTCAAGAAATTAATCAGTATAGCTGATCATTTGTTTATTACTTAGACTCACCCTCTTTCTAAAATAATCTATGGTGAGTGACTGTCATCAGGTGTTCAGAGAGTGAACAATTATGCCTAGTCCCCTAGTAACAAAAGTTTTAAAAAATCATATGTAGTTTCTGTATATAAAATATAAATAAGCTCATAGAATATTAGAAATAGTTTAAACTTCCAATGCTATATGAAATCCTCTCCTAAAACCCATTTCCCAGAAATTGATAGATGTTTTATTATGGTATGCAACACAGAAACCTAGAAGTCTTGCTTGATTTTTATGTTTTCTTTATTCACCACAACTAAGAAATCTTCTAGATCTTCCTATTTTGTCCCTAAATTATTTATTTAATCTCTTTTCTGCTCTCTATCCTTATAAGCATCACCTTATTGGTCTGTTGTTAGAATTACTTCCTGATGTTCTTGTTCTCTTGATTTCGTACTCAAATCTATCTTCTGCAGGGCCATTAGAGTGATTTATTCAAAAGCTCAAATCTAACATATAACTATATCCTTCCTTCCTCCCTCCCTCCCTCCCTCTCTTCTTTCTTACTTTCTTTGCTTTTCTTTTCTTTCTTTCTTTGTCTCTTTCTTTTTCTTTTTTTTGTCTTTCTTGCTTCTTTCTTTCTTTCTTTGTCTTTTTCTTTCTTCTTTGTTCTCTTCTTTCTTTCTTTCCTTCCTCCCTCCCTCCCTCCCTCCCTTCTTTCCTTCCCTCCTTCCTTCCTTCTTCTTTGTTTTCTTTTCCTTTCTTTTCTTTCTTTCGACAGAGTCTCTCTCTGTCACCCAGGCTGCAGTGCAGCGTCATGATCCAGGCTCACTGCAACCTCTACCTCCCTGGTTCAGTGATTCTCCCACTTCAGCCTCCAGAGTAGCTGGGATTCTAGGCTTGTACCACCATGCCCAGCTAATTTTTTTGTTTGTTTGTTTGCATTTTTACTAGAGACAGGGTTTCACCATGTTGGCCAGGTTGATCTGGAACTCCTGACCTCAAGTGATCCACCCACCTCGCTGGGATTTACAGGCATGAACCATGGCATCTGGCCTACATTTCTATCTGATATAGTTTTATGACACTTATTCCTCTAGAGAAGAAATTTAAGTTCAGGCAGTTTTCTGTATCTTGATACCTGAACATGTTTGCAGCCGGAATCTTGGAAACTTCCTAATTCACCTATAATATTTGGCAACTGCTTATAGTTTCTTTCATGTGCCAAGCTACATCTTTTCTAATTATGTTTGCTCATTACGTGTTCTAGGCTTTGAAATCTTTCATCTGTTGCACAGACTGGCTTGGATAACATACTCAGTGTTTAGAGCTCACCTCAAGCATTCCTTCATTCAAGAATCTTTCCACAGTATTCATTATCCAATTTTAGTTGCATGCCCCACTCAGTGCATTTCTCTAATTCTATACTTCCAACTTGAAAATAATGTCTTTCTCCCTCATGAGTTTACAGCTGTTTAGAATAGGTCCTATATCTTAGCAACTTTTGTATCCTGAAAAACTAACACAGTTTCCAGCACTTAATAGGGTTTAGGAACTCTTCAATAAACTCATAAATCTAGTCATTATTGAATTAATGAGGATATCTAATATATGCTTCAAAAATCCTAATGATGTTGCGTTAAATATTTCACATGGTGGCCCATCCCATTTCTGAACAATTCTAATTCTTAGAAAACTGTTCCTCATACTGAGTTGAAACTCAGTTTTCTTGTAATTCATCTATTATTCCTTAAAACTTCCATTTGCTCGCACACAAAATAAATCTATGAAATAGTCATTCATATATTAGAAGGTGGATTTATGTCCTGATTCATCTGTTTTTTACAGACTGAGCACCTTTTATTTTTATAAAGTAAATTAGTTCATTTCTGGGATTTTCAAAATATCTGTATTATCAAAAGAAAACTTTAAAGCCTTTTTAGTTTATGGGCATGAATTTGACTAGAAGGTAAAATCATGCCGCTCTCGGCTGGGTGTGGTGGCTCACTCTTGTAATCCCAGCACTTTGGGAGGGTG